GTACGCATAGTCGTGCATGCCGTAGTCGTTAGACCATTGACCTCGCATCCCTACAAAGCCAGGACGGAGCACACCGGGTTCTCACCGGACCAGACTCGAGCGGGGGGGGATCTTTGAACTGTTGTTCCAGAGCACGGCGATGGTAAAGCAGCATGGGTGTCTGCCCGTGCCGGTGTACTGCAGTAGCTCGTGATCGCGAGCACGCATGCGAAAATTGTACTCCACGTTATCCGGCAACTAATTTTCCGCCCACATGGAACGGTGGAAAGGGATGGACAAAACGGAACGTGAAATATTGGGTGTGTGCAACACATGCCTACCGGTATACCCCCTTGGCCGATGTTGAAAGCCCGACTTCTCCACGACGGAAGTGGATGCCGCAATCAAACGACACATGTGTTTCCGGAAAGCTCTCGTCGAGGCGGTTCCAACGCCGCCATTCTTGGCACCGTCGCTGCTGTTGCTGCAGAGGGTTCGAGGTTGGAAGATCGATCCAGGGGGGGAGTATTTCATCCTACCTACGATATAAAGGTGCGTGATGAACTCTGTGTAGACGTATCTAGGGATGGGGACGATTCAGGAGGAGCCGACAAAACGGCCGCAGCGGTGACATCGCCGGATAGAGTAAGAACGCAAACAGGGTGTCCGACTTGCTACTGCAGTAGTAGCCCTCGCGAGCATGTTAAGCTCGGTTCCAGCACGGGGGTAGGGATACGAACCCCCCCTGCCAATTTCATAGATTCACAATAATAGCCTCTGGAAGGCGTTGCTCTCTTTGTTGCGACTAGGGTCGTGGGAGTGGTGTCCGCAAGACTTTCGGTTGATATTAACATGTTGGGACGTTAGGACCCACCCCCCTGTAGTCATGAGAACGTGCGGAGGATCTCGAAAAAGGGCTATTTCCTAATTTCCAAATTCATGGGAGAGGAACGCTTGTGTGTTACAGTATGTACGTCTCTGCGTCTCCGCGGAAGGGACACAGAGCCTCGAGAGGGCAGACAGGAGAGAGCAGCCGGGCGGCCGTTGCTGATTTCGTGGCCACACAGGGATCGTTGCGCGCGGCCGACGGGGTTAAGGCTCTGTGAAAGCCAACCCTTAACCCTGCTGCTTACTGTAGCGACTTCACATATTAGTGAGGGACCTCAACATATTACCGGAAGGTTACGCGTCAGCGTACAGGAGTGCGATCGATTTCCAAAGCTTCATTTCTCCACAAGCAGGAGGTCATCACTGTCGAAAAGGGCGGGTTTTGGAAATATCTCATCGAGAGCTCACCCTCTTGGTCGTGGAAAAATTACACTGCTGTGAAAATCGTTCACACCCCTGTGCTGTAGCAGTATCAGCAGATCAGTAGCGACCGCCGTGTCAATGAGAGTGACTACAGGCCTAGTGTCTTACTGTAGGTGACCGGGGGATGGCCATTGCCATGGACTTGTCCTCTCCCTCTTGACGACCTCTGCTGGTTGCTTCGATCGGAGATTGCGGTGGAGACTTTGTGCCTTTGGCTTCTAATATTGCCAAGATATCGTTGTTTCAGTGCCGTGCAGTGGGATGCAATAGATCGCACGGCGGGAAAGCACCTGCTGTAGGAATTCGGGCGCAACTTTGAACCCATCCAACTTCGGTATGCACGGACAAAATGTAAAACGGACAAAATGTGAAACTCATGCCATCCGTGCACTCTGGGTGTACTCGAAGTTTGCGATCGCTCGTGTAGCGTTTTGCTCTTTAGCTCAAGAACGTCGGCGTTGTTGTCGTTCACACGGCAGCTTGGTTTGTTCTTCCTTAGCGCCTATCTCCGCCTTCTCATAGCGAGAGAGAACAGGTTTATCGTGCATTCGACTTACCACCAAGACAGTCACCATGGTCAGAAAGGCCACACCGATAGGGCCTTGCATTGCCTCAATCACACCCGCCATAGCGTACACACACGAGCGCTCCGCCTTTGCTTTGTAGTACCAGTACTACATGGTCAACCCCGCAGTTCACTGGGGGGTTCCGTGGAATGCAGGGAACTTTGAGTGGGTGCACTTCGACCTGCTCCCGCAGTGCCGACGCCGTAACACAGCAGCTTGATTACCTGCCGAGCATCGGCCCAAGATAGTCTGGACACCTTCCAGGCAGCGAGATAGGGGGGGTAGGAAGCTAGACGCCTAATCGTAGGTGAGCCTTTGCAGAATTTGAGCTAGAAGCTCTTCACCGACAAGACTCAGTAGTAACACATACGTTTGTTTTCGTTCCGGTGCTGTATCCGATAACGGACCACCGCGGGCTGCTGAAGCAGGTTGCCCGAGCACACTCGGGGTGCCGAGCGGCAACAAGCAGCCCAGCGCGATGATGCCTCCGCAGGTGAAGGGCTCAGCAGGGATCCCTCACCACACAGGGGAGCTGCAGCAGCACCAGCAGCACCAGCAGGACCTGACGTCCGTGGTGATGGAGGAGGTCGAGGAGCAGCAGTGGGCGTGCCGCTGCACGCTGCTCAACCGAAATAGCTTCTCCCGATGCATCGCCTGCGGCAGCCCCAAGCCTCGACAGCTACACTTGCAGCAGCAGCATGGTAGCGGGCGGGCCCCTCCTTCTCTTGTCCCGGACGGGAGCACTACATCGGCGACCACAATAGCGGCCGGAATCGCGGAAGCCAGCGGAGGATCTACGTCGTCGTCCGCGACGACTCCCCCGGCAGCAGCTGCTACTACGACGGCGAAGCGGGGCAGGCAACGCCATGGCAGCAGCTCCACCGGGCAGCACAAGCGTGCGAAGACTCTGCCGGGCGGCGGCGCAGCTGCTCCGCCTAGCTTGGCGGCGGAAGCCAACGCTGACAGCCGTAGCAGGGCTCCGTCGACTTCGGCAGGCAGCGAACGGAAACGAGCGGGTAGCGGACCGTCGTTGTCGTCCAAGGGCAACGGCAACAGGGATGCGAAGCCCTCCGCCGCGCCTGCTGCCGCTGCCGCTGCCGCTGACACCTCGGGCGGAGAGGGAGACGGTGGCGGCGAAGCGACACCGACGCTAGCGGCGAAGAAGAAACACACGATGGAGATGTACAGGGTGAAGCGGAAGTCGGTCGGCGCGGCGCTCGCCAGGTCGGCCTTTTCCCAGCTCGAGCTGCTCAGCTGGGAAGACGTGAACGTTGACTGGTGCCCGGCAGAGCGCCTGGCCGAGGCCGAGCGACGAAACTCGGCCCTCCTAGGAGCCGGAGCTGGAGCTAAGGCGAGGGATGGCGGGAGCCGGAGTCAACGGGGTGGTGCCGCGGCAGCGGCGGCGGCGGCGGCGGCGGCGGCTGCGGCGGCGGGAGATGCGGAGGCAGACGGCGAGCAGGAGGAGCTGTGCATGAGCGCACTGTTCCCTCTGCCCCAGCCGAAGCCGGCCCGGTTCGTCAAGAAGGGAGTTTTTGCGGCAGAGCCGGGAACGGCAACGGCGGACGCGCGGTCTAGCTCTACTGTGGTGGCGCCTTCCCCCCCGCTGCCCCACAGCACGATTACGGAAGGGGAAGTCCTTGCCGGAAAGCTTGCCGCGGACGACGACGGAAAGCCACCAAATACTGCGGGTGGTGCGGGCGGTGGTGGCGCGGCGCGCACGATCTCGGCAAGCGACGGTGGCGGGAGCACCAGCAGCGACCCGCCGCCGCAGGCGGCGGAGAGTGAGGCCGGCGCAAATGCGGGGGCTGGCGGAGACAACACGGACAGCAACAACAGCGACAAGTCGGCGACGACGGCTTCGGAGTCTTCCAGCACGACGCAGTACGCCATGACCGCCGCGGCCAGGACCAAGGCCTACAAGGGCATCTTCCGCACGGGGGGCGGGGACAAGCCCAAGAAGCGGCCCCGTAGCCCCGTCGCGAGCACCCCGCTGCACCTTCCATTCCCGCGGCCCCCCGCCGGGGTGAGCCTGGCGACCGCGGACCTAGAGGAGCGGCCGCCTTGCGGCTCCGAGGAATACGTGCAAACGGAGGCTGGGTCGGAGTGGGCGTGGGGGTTGTTGGGCGACAAGCAGGACGGTGGCGGCGACGGCGATGTTGCTAGTGGTAGTGGCGGCGTTGGCGGCGCGTCGGCGGGCGCTAGCGGCAAGAGCGGTGGTCCTAGACACGGAGACTTTCGTTTGCCGTACGACGTGATCTACGACTGCCACTACCAGAGGTTCCTCGGAGAGATGCGGCAGCTGGGGATGCGCAGCGCCGACGATGCCATGACAGAGTTTCACGGCATCACGTCCAACGTGTACTTGAGCAAGAAGGTACGTGTTTTGCTTGGCGTGCATGCGGGGGGGGAGGGCTCGGCGAGGCAAAGCCCGCACGCGCTGCTGTAAGTCTTGGCGCAGCTCGTTTACGTATGAATATATTTTGATTTCCCTTGCTCGTCGTGACATGACGGCCAAAACACACGGCTGTAGTTGTAGGAACTCCGAGGGTCTAAACAGCGGGTGTGGTAACCTTGTGTCTGATTTGTCGGTTTCATGGACCTTCTACTTGTCCTCCACGCTCCTGTAATTTTCCGTGTACTCACAGCAATGGTTCCACCGCGGGTTTTAAGGTCCAACTCCAACAAAGGCGAGACGAACCCCACACGTCCACCTCTCCATCATCAAAATCGGAAAGAACGATCGGCCATCGGTGATCGATTCTGTGGAAATAATGCTCCTTCCTCTGTCGAGGGCGCCTTGTCATTTTCTAAAAACTACGGCTGCAAAATATGAGTATCCCCCCCCCCCCCCCCCCCCCCCCCCCCCCCCCCCCCCCCCCCCCCCCCCC